TTGAGGATCTTAAAAGTGTGCCTCATAAAAACTCTCTATCTCTCTATATTAAATAATAAAGCATCTAAGAATGTTAAAGGCAAAAGCCTCAAGGTAGACAAAAGGATCTGTGGGAATAGTTTTGTCTAATGGAATGGGTATAACTTGATACATAGAAAGCCAACATTTTTATATAATTATAAATTATGTAAAATTATATACCTGCTTGGACTTAAAGCAATAGAGCCAATATAATAGGAAAAATAAGACTTTGAGCCCCTAACTTCCTACTGGTGGAAAGCAAGCTCAGAAAGCTGTTCAGTTGCAAACACAAACTACTTCTTAATTGGAGGAGAAAAGATGCCTTCAAAGACAAAATTAAAGACCGAAAGAATGGGGACAAGCTCCAGAAAGAACAATTCACAGGAAGCAGCAAAGAGCCATAATTAAGGAACTGCCAATATGTGCCCAGTTGGATTTCAAAATTGCTATGGGTCAGCAACTACTGTATCCTCTCATTTTCTCTATTCTTGAATGGTAATGTCTATTGCAATAATCATATTCTCCTCTTACCTTTGTTTCTGGGGATAGGGAGTGGGGATAGATTATTTATATCCTTAGTTAACAGGTCTTCACAAAGAGAGAAGCCATGCCCAAGAAACCAAACCCAAGTAGCCTCATCTGCACCCAGACCTAAATTCGATGTTGAGATCCTGGACCTCAAACTTGAGTCTGATGCTATAATGAATCAGACTTATAGCAAGTATACTTTGTATATAGAATGAATGTAAATAACTTGTGACCAGAGAGCAGACTGTATTGATTTTAAAACAAGTCTACAGATTCTTTGACACTCCCCATCAAGAGTTCAGATCCATGCTCTCATCTATCAAATCAGAACCATCTCTTAGTGACTTACTTGTAACCATTAAAAATCAGTAAAAGTGATGCTGTGTGATTTCTGAAGATAACTCAAAAAAGGTCATATAGCTTCTACCTAGTTCTTTTGGGACATTCACCTTTGGAGTTATTTCATCATGTAAGAATTCCAGCTACCCTGAGGCCACCATATTTTGAATAAGGCCAGATTATGTGAAAAGGATGTAGAGCAATGCTATGGACCAGCAGCGCCAGCTGGCATCACGGAAGACTAGCAAAACAACCACCAGGCACATAGGCACATTTCTGAAGATGGTCTAGGTGATTCTGGTCTCTTGTTGTCAAGTCGCTCCCAATCATCAGGTCTCCCCAACTGAGGTCCCTGACATCACTGAGATGAAACAGTGTCTCCACTGTGCTCTTCCAAATTCCTGGCCAATTGAAACGTTTAGCATATTAAATGGTTTTTTTAATGCCACTAAATTCTGGAGTGGTTTGTTATGCCATGATTGTAACTGAAACAATATTATAAAGGAAGAATTCATACTTTAAGTTTTCAGACAAGAAAACTAGGATAGAGAGAAGTTAAGTAATTAACCAAGAGAAGCAAAACACAAATTCTAAAACAAACCCATCTGATTTTAAATTCCATGTTTATAATCATAAATCTACACTATTTCCCATAAATATCCCTATCTCTTTGTTTTACTAATACTTCCCCTGCCAAGGATTGTATGCTCACATTCATCTGCTTCTTCAAAACAAAACCATCATTCAGAGCCATATAAAATCTTATCTTCTTCATGGAGTACAGATCTAGACTCCAACCCTTAGCAAGTTATTCCTCTTCAAAACTGTCTGTAATTTACTTTTTACAACTTTCATTTGACAGTGAATGCTAGTAACACTAAGCTGCAATTAGTGAATTTATAGCTTTTCCAATGCACATTCCTTGGCTACCCTCTTGAATTACGTCCCTAGCCAAGGGTTGAAAATCCAAATGTCCACAGAACGAAAGCAGGTAATATACAACAGTACAGTGAACTAGATGCAAAAGTACAAAAGTGGCCCTGATTAAGTTACACTGGGAAGCAAATGCACCATGTAAATGGGTCCGCCACCACTCACCTACACCATGCATATTATCACCACCTGACATGGGATATATGTATTTGTTTAATGTCACTGTCTCCTAATTAGGACATAAATTTTTGAGAGTAGAAACCTTGCTTGCTTTGTTCACTGCTATATCACCAGAGCCTAGAACAATACCTGACACTCAGTCAATATATATCTGTTAAAGGAATAAATGAATGAACAAATACTGCCGAGCAGTAATGTGGGTCCAATGATCTTCCTGTTTCTCAAGAGAAGCTAGGAATAAATAATTTTATGTGCAATCTCTCAATTTCTAAATGTTACCAACTAATTATAAAAATGTTAAACCATGTTAGGGATGGGTAAACAAAACACATCTGTAGGCATAGATTCAATCTGAAAGCTGCATTTGCAATCTCTGTACTAGAGGGATCTTAGATTGTTTTTTATCTTTCTAATTACTTAGGCTAGTGCCTTGCAGAGTGTAGATAACTTGATAAGAAAATAATGATGACGCTTCAAATATGCATACTTGAGGCACTGCTGCAGTTCAGCTGTGTATTATTAAGATGCTACTCAAGTTGCTCTCTCGTGTCCTGAAGGAAACTGCTTTAGACTCTGATCCAAAATGACCACCTGGACTTCACACAGCCATCCCACTTCCAGGATTTTAAAACTAAATGTCCACTCCTTCTAGCTGTTAGGAGTTAAGAAATGTCACTCCCATGTGCTCCCAGTAATAGAGAGAGGAAAGGCAGGGGGAAGAAAATAGATTGGATTTCCAAGGGGTGACAGAAAGAGAACCAGGTTTCAAACCATATTTCCACAGTTGATAAGCAAGGGCTCCCAATGGCAATAGTGTTTTCCTTTTCATGCTTCTTAGTATTTCTGGACTATACAATCTAAAATTTTATTTCAGTTGACCTTTCAATGTTCTCTTGTAGCATGTTTTATCTTTCTTACATAAAAATTATTGAGGAAGAATTTTAAAATGTTTACTAATTACTTAGATTCTTATCTCTAATACAAAGTCACGTCTAAATAATTAGAGTGTGTCTGGGTCACTTAAACATGGGTCACTTTGCAGCCAGCACAATTGTGAATGGCTGAGGACACTTTTAAGAAAACATACTTGGAAAAAAACCTTTCCATTGTACCCTGTGCTGCTAGCTGACCCAAGGCAAGTCAATCATCATCTTTCGAAGATGTAAAAGGAAATGAGATGTCTTCGTGTTCCTTTTCTGTGTATGGTCCAATGTGTGCAGCCTGGAAATATCCAGACATCAAAAACATCAGAGGAATTCAACATATCAAAAAAGTATAAGTCCAAACGAGTAAAATGTCATCCTGCCCTCTATAGCTAGCATTTAGGAAGTTATTTTAATGATTATGTTCATGAATTCACTCTTTGCAGTTCTTTGGTAATGGATGAATTTTGTATGCAGGCAGGTTTTTTTTTAAATAGGCTCCAGAGTGATTTAAATTGAAAGGAACAGTGAGAAAATTTATTTAGCCAACCTATATTTCAAAATTTAGGTTATTATAGAGCTCTGAACTTCCTGCAGAATAAGAATATAGATTTCTATTCACTTCTTTTGTTATGTTCAAGCAGCACTGAATGTGATGGCCATTGGATGAAGACAACCATTATCTGAATTCTGTGATAGACACACAGGTGAAATGGTAAAACAGAGCTTCTGGAACAAAGGGCAGAGAAGCCTCAAATTTGAAATCAGACCAACAGAGGTTTAACTTGTGGCTCTACCACTTGCTTAATTTCTAACCCTGGGAGAGTTACTTCACCTCTTTATGCTTCAACATATTCATTTACAAAAATGGAATTATAATACCTTGCTTTAGGATCTGACATGAAAATTAAAATAAATGCATATTTACAGTGTAAGCCATTGAAATGAAGAGGAAGTTATTTAACAGCATGGCTGAACTAGCCTCTCCAATGCAATGCAATAGCATGCAGAAAGCGCCTAAAACACCATGGTGTCACAAATGGTAGTTGCGATAGAAAGTCCAATTGATCCTTAATATAAATTTAACACAAACTGTAATTCTTCAGGCTTTCTATATACTACCCTCCCCTAGAACATATTTTTATACATTTGGGTGTTATGGGCTAAAAGAAGCTTTATACCATACAAAAATTCTAGCACATTGGCAGAACTTATGTACAAAAATGTTCACTGGAGCATTGCTGTTAATCATTGAAAATCAGAAAAATTAAAATGTTCATCTATAGGAAGATGACAAATTTTGATGTATTCATTCGACCATTCTATTCGGATAAACCACAAAAACGTAATTTTAAGCAAAAAATAAAATGAAATAAAAAATAAGTTGTAAGATGATATTGATAGTATAAAACCATTTATATATGTGAAATTATAAAACATGACATGTGTTATAAGTGGATATTTACATAATTAACAAATACATAATAATATACATGGAAATGGCTAATACCAAATCCAGGAGAGTGATTACCTCAAAGAAAGAGGGTAAGGCATGAGATATGGCAGGGGTACGCAGAAAGCTTCAATTCAATGCAGTATGTTTTACTTTTTCAAAAATTAATCAGACTGAAGCAAAGATGGTAAAATGTTTAGATTCTATAGAGCTGGATAGTTCTATAGATCAGGCATACGGAGTGCATTATGTTATTCTCCACATTTTCTGTACATTTGAAATGTTTCACAATAAAAGGGAGCAGCTTTCCCAGTCATATAAATAGATACTGGCAATTTCTCAAAACGAACAACAGTTGTTCCAGAGATAGTCAGGAGGTGAAGAGGGAGAGGGATGGCAGGGCTGGGGGAGGCAGTTAAAGGAATCGGAGGGCTGGGTATAGAAGAGACGTTCCTCTCTGACTCCTTGAAACTGGGAAGATAATTTTTTTCCCAAGAGTTAAGTAAAAAATTCAGCCATATAAATGTGAAGAGGATAGGAATAATTTCATTGTTAATCCAGAAATCAGATTACTTTACAGAGTGTACATAATCCAAAAACATCATTAAGTTTAAAATACTTACTACAACCCCACTCTTGGTGATAGTTTCTCTGTATGTGAAGTTGCAAATAGCCCAGGCTAAATAATATGTGGACATGAGAGGGGTCTGTGAAAAGTGATCCGTAACCCATCCATCTTCCTCAAACACGGAAGTTTCCACTGGCATATTGGATAAAGATAAATAGGTTGCTTGATGCTTGATGCTGATTTTAAAAGTAGCCTTGTAGATGGGCTCATCAAAACAAGGAAATGCCTTCCTGGCATGTGTAGGCGAAAACTGAGTAACACCGAGGAATCTGGAAAACAGAAAATGACATTCCCAATTACATTTATTGCTTGAGTTGTGACCACTTTGCATGCTTCTGCTGATAACGTATATTACCGAATTGCAAGATACTTTTCACTTCTGAACCAAACTTAAGTTCATGAATAGCATGAAAACACTATACATACACATTTCCCCAACAATAAAAGCTCTTCAGAGAAGTTTTTGTCTCATTTGAAATAAATTCTCTAAACCCAAAGTAGTGCCTATTAGACAAAACATTATAGTCTACAGGAAAATCACTCATTGGTCTCACATTAGTAAACATTGGAAAATAATAATCCTCTTTTTTGGCATGCCTTTCCTCCCTGAAACTGCACAACATTTAAAGTCAGTGAAACTAAAATCCAGAAGTTGTCATCAGATACATAATGAACATAGACCATCACTGAGAAACATCTGTACCCTCAAACTTCATCAAGACGTGACCTGATTTTATTTTAAAAAGGGGTTTTGAAACCACACAAAACTTGGTCTGAATTCTGGCTCTACGACATTCTTAACCATATCATCCTATACGATTACCAAATTTCCCTAAGGTGTAGTTGTTCATTGCTCAATAGAAAATAGTCAAGTTTAACTCAAAAAGAAAGCTTTTGTAAAGCTTAGTGGGGAAATAGAGAATGTAAAGCACCTATCGCAGCGAATAGAAGAATAGCAGCCAGCAGGCAGTTAATGAATAGCAGCCAGTAAAAAATGGCAGCCACTGATTCACAACATCTTCAACAGGTTCACATTCAGTAATCCAGACAGTACTGGTATTTACTACTCATATTATGTGTTTATTATATTATGACATGTAAATGTAATAAATACCTATATAAAAAATCTGTTAATGACTGTGTACATATACATATATAAATGTATTATATACTAAAAATATATTTAATGCCCTCAAGTTCTCAGATCAAGCAGCAAAGTTACTTACTAAAACTCTAACTAAAAGCAACTTCTATTTTTTTCTCACAGTTCAGGGTTACAAATGAAAATGCTCATAGTAAGTACTTTAACTTAAGAAGGTCATTATTTATTAAATCAATCATGACAAAGTTAAGCTTTTTTAACATTACTAGTTGCAAAACTTGATATAAGGCAAGTCAATATCAGACCCTTTATAAAACATTACTGAGTTCTAAAGTCACTTGTTTAAAAAACTGTGTCCCCCATAAGTAAATCTGCCACCTCTCCTTTCTCCATCATCCAAGGTATACATGGCTAATCTAACATGGCACACTTTCCCACTGAGCCTGAACTTGACCTCAAAATTATTCTCAGCACAGCACTTCAGGCAACTACTACCAATCAATAGGGGTTGATGTGTGTATTGAATCTTATTGGCTATCCTTGGCTCAAACCATGAGGTGTAAATGTTTAGGCCATTTTAAAATGATGAAGCTTACATTTATCATTGAAGGCCTACCTTTTTGAAGCTTAGCTTTGAAATAGAGAAAAAAAGACATTTTTAAGATTAATTGTATGCTCTCAGAGAGGCTCTCAGAGAAAAGGTTTTTGAGAGTTATCTTGAAAACAGTACTGGGCTGCCACATACCAGCCTAGGGTAAATCACTTAACTGCCCGAGCCTATTTTTTCATTAGTAGAAGAAAAACAATAATATTTTCTAGGCCTTCCTTCCAAAACTGTCGAGATGATAAAATGAGATAATATATGGGAAAGAAGTTTTAACTATAAATCTTCAGACAAATATAAGGTTAAAGTTGGAAGCAATCTTAGAAACAAATTGTCCAACTCTCATAAATTTCTAAACAAGAAAAAATAGCTCCAGTAGGGTTAAGGGATTTGTCCACAGTTGCACAGGCAATTAGTGTAAAGCTGGGTCTGGAATTCACATTTTCTGTGTCTGAGTGAAAGGCAACTACATTTCAAAAACAGTAAAATTAATCTTTATCCATAATTGATACACAATGTTATAATTCAACTGCTGGTAGTTAAAGTTCTTTCCTAATTTGCCAGAATCATGGTAATATTTTCCCTATTATTTTTTACTGATAATAACATAATTTTTGCTTAATTAAATGTTAGCACCTTTTAGTTAAAATGCACCCATTTACAATTTTCTCATCACATATTTTTTTCTTATATAATGTTCTTGAATCTTACCTTTCTATTTTATTAATTAAAATGTCCACTGAGCTTGATATTTCTCTACTGAAGCTACTTAAAAGATATAAGATTTCATATATGAAAAAAAAGTGTTCCCTTATAACTTTAAAGTCTCTGAGAACTCCAATTCTAGTCATTGAACAATTAGATATTGTCTGCTATATGTAAGTTCTTCATTATTAGGTACATAGTAATATTTTTTAAAAAGATATAATCATTTTGCCCTTAAGTTCTTTGCAATCTAATTGAAAAGGTTATCTGTATTTATATATTCTAATACTAGTAATACTAGGAGAAAAGTTCTACAAGAGTTCAACAGAGTGGTTGCAATTAGAATGCATTAGTCATGTAAAAATCAAATGTATCTTTGGCATTAAGTTATTAATGGGTAGGAATTTATTAGATATAGAAATTCTAAATACCTTTGGGCTAGTGAGAAATTAATAAGCCAAATATTTATGCAGAAGAATAATTTCATGTCATTTCTTTTTGCCTTATGTGGTAAGTAAATATGTTAGTAAAGCTAGCAATGTAAATAACTTATTATCAGGGTTGAAAGGAGCTGTAGAAATCATTTAGTGACTTTTTCTGCAATTAATATTCTTAATGAAATTATACATACAGTATATATCTATGCACAGAGGGCCAACATATATTCTGATAATGTCTAAATGAGAAAATACCAATTTCACAGTCTGGCACCTAAGGACGATTGCAATTGAATTTCAATTTAGTATTTAGGAAATCAAAAAACGTCCCTTGGTAAAGAAGAGCAGTAGGACTAGATTACATTTAAGGTCTTTCCCAAGTTTGAGATCAAACAACTGAAAAAAATTAGAAATAAAATATTCCCTGAATTTGATGAGGCTTTTTTAAAATGTTAGCTACACTGCCACTAAGTAGCTTTTTACTAGACGTTCTATAATTCATGTGCCTCTCAATCATTTTTTGAGTGTTTAATACTGAGGACGAAGAGAACTATCTTTACTTGCTTCCCTCAAGGAGTTTATATTCTAAATAAAAGAAAGTAAATATATACCTAAATAGGCATCACACAAAATGCCCTGACAAATAGGGAAAATGTACGAAGAAATTACATTCTCCTTCAGCAGGCTTTTTCAGCCATGGCACAACGGCATTTTAGGTTGGACAACATTCATTGTCGGAGGCCGTTGTGTGCACCGTAGGATGTTTAGCAGCAGCATCCCTGCCCTCTACCACCAGAGGCCAGTAGCACCACCTTTCTCCAATTGTGGCAACCAAAATGTCTCCAGACATTGCAAATGTCCCTCGGGGGACAAAACTGATCCAGTTGAGAACTACCAGCCTTAAGAACTGAAGGAAGGCTTTATGGAGGAGGAAACATAAGAATTAGTCGTGGAGCCTGGGGAGTATTTTAAGGGTCAGAGACGGATGGAGAAGTGAGCAAGTTGACAATGGATAGCACAAAAGAAAAAAGCCTTTAAAACAGCTTTGACTCTCATATTAAGTTAATGCCCGGTCTGCTCCCTTACAGAGATTCTGGTTTTATCAGATCTCAGTATTGCCAGCCCATCTCTAACACCTCTCACCTTGATACTCTCCTTTCTAACAAAAGGATGTAATTTCAGACTCAGTACCCAACAATGTCTGTTGGGTTTCAAAAATATAATTTTTTCTTCACTGCATATATTTTAGGGTTGTCTTCAGTTGGTGGAAGTAAGACTTCCTTTCTGCTTACTGTCATTTAAAACATCAAAGAGGGCACTAGTAGAGGTGATTTGGAGTAGGGAATGATGAGTTTGGATTTGAGCAAATTTGAGGTGAGTCTGAGGTGGCAGGAGGAGGATACCATGTAGAAGAAATACAGAAAAAATAATGAAAAATAGAAAACATTTTAATATATCATATGAATGTGAAATACATATGTAAATACAACAAGAAGTAAAATAAAACATTAGGAGGCAGAAGTGAACTAGGGACAAGTATTTTGTTGTCTTTTTTCCTCGCTTTCTTAAACAAAATCATTTTTATCTTTTAACGAATCCCTCTATTACCATAAAAAAAATTCTACTTCCAAAAGTGACATCCTGGAAGTGTCTTCCCAAGAATGTCACTTTAGCATAACTAAAAAAATATGAATAACATATCTGTATTTTAATTCTCTTCTAAAATAAATTACTTGATTTTTTAACAACTTGTCTATTTGACATTTTGGTTCAGCTAAGTAGAGCTTAAAGCTCTCTGTTGCCTCTGAAGGATATAGAGAATTGATTTCTTCTTATTTCTGCGGAAGTTCACTAGGCAAGCTCCTTGTATCAAGTCATTATGATAAGATTCAGCAGAAGTAATGCATTAATGTCAGTTAATATTGCCAACAAATTACAGTATGAGATACAAAACAGTGTCTGTTCCATTATTTTCAGTTTGCCTTTTCATAAAATTAAGATACACAGAAGAAACAGACATTTGCATAGCACTGTTAGCATTGAAAATCGATTCATGACTTTTCACTGTGGAACCCACCAAAACCAAGAGAACCTCAGACACGGCGTGGCATTTCACAGAGGTTTCCGTTTTGGCCACTTCTAAGCATACCACACATACAGCACAGTGAAAAATGATCTTTGAACTTGCTTCTGTTGAAATTGCAAACTGCCTAGCATTGTCATCATTTAAGATTGGTAATAAAAATTCCCAAGATCTACAGAAAAGTTCTAATGGGCCATCTAGTTACTATCCAAATGTTTGCAGTAAACAGACTCAGTTACAAGGTCATGGAAGTTACACCTGTCCCATTTAAAGTTAAGGCTGTTAATCAAAATGCAAATTATTACACAATGACAGAACATTTTAAGTCAAAAAGCGCG